ATGAGTGTGTGGGCAGAGCTGGGGGTGAATGAGTGTGTGGGCAGACTGGGGTGAATGAGTGTGCTGGGCAGCACTGGGGTGAATGAGTGTGTGGGCAGACTTGGGACGTGAATGAGTGGTGGGCAGACTGGGTGAATGAAGTGTGTGGGCAGACTGGGGTGAATGAAGTGTGTGGGCAGACCTGGGGTGAATGAGTGTGTGGGCAGCCTGGGTGAATGAGTGTGTGGGCAGACTGGGGTGAATGAGTGTGTGGGCAGACTGGGGTGAATGAGTGTGTGGGCAGACTGGGGTGAATGAGTGTGTGGCAGACTGGGTGAATGAGTGTGTGGGCAGAGCTGGGTGTATATGAGTGTGGTGGGCAGACTGGGGTGAATGAGTGTGTGGGCGACTGGGGTGAATGAGTGTGTGGGCAGACTGGGGTGAATGAGTGTGTGGGCAGACTGGGGTGAATGAGTGGTTGGGGGGTGGGGGGCCCAAGACTGGGGTGAATGAGCTGTGTGGGCGGACTGGGGTGAAATTGAAGTGTGTGGGCAGACTGGGGTGAATGAGTGTGTGGGGCAGACTGGGTGAAATGAGTGTGTGGGCAAGACTGGGGTGAATGAGTGTGTGGGCAGTACTGGGTGAATGAAGTGTGTGGGCGGACTGGGGTGAAATGAGTGCTGTGGCAGACTGGGAGTGAATGAGTGTGTGGGTCAGACTGGGTAAAATGAGTGTGTGGGGCAGACTGAGTGATGAGTGTGTGGGGCAGACTGGGTGAATGAGTGTGTGGGCAGACTGGGGTGAATGAGTTTTGTGGGCAGACTGGGGTAGATGTGTGGGCAGACTGGGTGAATGCCACCATAGCAGTCACATCTCTCTCACTGACTGCTAGCAGGCCCCTGTACGAGCCATCGCTGCGCTGGCTGCTGCTGCTGCTGCGCTAGCTACTACTACTACTTGCTGCTGCTACTGCTGCTACTGGCTACGCTGCTACTGCTGCTGCTGCTGCTACTGCTGGCTACTCTACTAAGCTCTAGCCGCTGCTACTGCTGCTTACTGCTGCTACTTCTGCTGCTGCTGCTGCTGCTGCTGGCTACTACTACTACTGGCTTACGCGCTGCTACTGCGCTGCTGCTGCTCTGCTGCTACTAGCTACTACTGCTAACGCTTGGCTGACGCTGCTGGCTTGCTGGCTACTGCTGGCTGCTACTACTGTTGCTGCTGCTACTACTACTACTCGCTACGCTGCTACTGCTGCTGGCTGCTGCTACTGGCTGCTACTAACTACTACTGGCTACGCTGGCTACTGCTGCTTGCTGCTGCTACTGCTGCTTGCTACTACTGTTGCTGTGCTGCTGGCTGCTGCTGCTGCTGCTGCTACTGCTGCTGCTGCTACTACTGTTGCTGCTGGCGCGCTAGCTGCTGCTGCTGCTGCTGCTACTGCTGCTGGCTGGCTGCTGGGCTGCTGCTGGCTGCTACTACTGTTGACCTGCTGGCTACTCGCTGCTGCTGCTGCTGCTGCTTGTTGCTGGCCTGCTACTGCTGCTGCTGCTGCTATGCTACGCTCTGCTGCTACTGCTGCTTACTACTACTACTGCTACCGCTGCTACTACTCTGCTGGCTGCTGCTAACTACTACTACTTGCTACTGCTGCTACTGCTGCTACTACTACTACCTGCTACCGCTGCTACTGCTGTGCTGGCTACTGCTGCTGCTGCTGGCTTGCTGCTGCTGCTGCTAAACTACTGTTTGCTGGCTGCTACTGCTGCTCTGGCTGCGCTGCTGTTGGCTGCTGGCTACTGCTGGCTGCTGCGCTACTGCTACCGCTGGCTGCTACTGGCTGCTACTACTACTAACTCTAACCGGCTGCTAGCTGCTGCTGCTGCTACTACTACTACTGCTAACGCTGCTAACTGCTTGCTTGTTGCTCGCTGGCTGCTGCTGCGGCACTACTTGCTACTGCTGCTGCTGCTGCTGGCTGGCTTGCTGCGCTGGCGCTGCTGATGCGGCATGTTTCGTCCTAACGTTACGTACCCCCAACAACCCACCCATCCAGCCCAGCCGACCTCTATAGCTCTCGCAATCGGACACGAGTCACGAATTCCCGTAATTTCACGTCGATGCCGCGCGAACTCGCTCGGGCGCCGATGGCCAATTTTGGATTCGCCTCGTTTCCTCTCACGCGCTCGGAGTGTGGGCGCGTGCGTGCAGACGATCTACGGCTGTCCGCACGCACCGCACGGAACGACCGGAAAGCCCAGCGAAAAATATATAGAACGCTACAAACGGTAATTGGAAGAAATGTGCGCGTCAAGCGTATACGACCTTGCGTTTTCTTAATATCGGGAATGCGTTCCTGGAGTAAAGAAGGGCGGGGTAAAAGGAGACATGAGGGATGGATTACTGGCATAAAAATACGCACAGTACACGCACGGCATACTACGCGCTTCACTAAAGCCCCGGCGCACACGTGCGATTTCATTGGCCAGTGTGGCGATTTTAATCGCCAGTGTGCGGGACCGGGCGAACAATGCAATGTCACTCGTAAATGTCAAAAAGACACGGGCGGTTCCTGCCACAGTTTCAACAAGCTGCACCTCGCTGTTTTTTTTCCACACTATAGGGCGCTGCCATGGTTTGATCACTGCTTCAAATCATGGCATTTTGATTGCGTTAATCCAAAAACTGTTGGCCTGAATCGCATCGGCCAGTTGTTCCATCCACACGTGGCGATTTGTTCAGCGACTCGCACACAAATATCAAAGCATGTTTGATATTGCCAGGCGAACGACATTTCTGCGGCGTCAAATGGCAATCGCCATGCAGGCGCACGCGTGGCGATCTTTCGGCGTTCTGTCGCCGGACAACCAAATCGCCAGTACTAGCCGATAAAAATCGGCCACGTGTGGCGCCCGGCTTAAAGAGAATGTCGTAGCGTGTAGAAATCTTCCCGCGTGTGGAATGTGACGTCATCTTGCCCGAACGCATGCGCGTAGCAGTGTGGCATGCGGCGGCGATGGAATGTTGGGAAAATAACTTCTTAATCGCGGAAACCAGAAGCGGACCACCTAGTGTATAAATGCTGCCTCTTAGAAGGACATACTTCTCTGTAGATCAGATAGATGGATGGATGGATGGATAGACGGATGGATGGATGGATGGGTAGATGGATGGATAGATGGATGGATGGATGAATGAATGAATGGATGGATGAATGGATGGATGGATGATGGATGGATTTGGATGGATGGTATGGATGAATGAATGGATGGATGGATGATGGATGATGATGGATGGATGGATGGATGGATGGCTGGATGGATGGATGGATGGATAGACGGACGGAACGGATGATGGATGGATGGATGGATGGTATGGATGGATGATGGATGGATGGGTGGTATGGATGGATGGAGAATGGTGGAGTGGATGGATGGATGGATGGATGGATGGATTGATGATGGATGGATGGATGGATGGAATGAATGATGAGGATGGATGGAATGGATGGATGGATGGATGGATAGGATGGATGGAATGGATGGATGGATGGATGATGGATGATGGATGGATGGGTGGATGGATGGATGGATGATGTGATGGATGAATGGATGATAGATGGGTGGATGGATGGATGGATTGGATGGATGGATGGATGGAGAGGCGAGTAGCGAGAAAAGTATGGATAACAAAACAATGTTGTTATGCACGTGCTTATAAGCACACACACACGAACTAGACGCGACGGCGCGGCGCTCGCGCGCACACGCACACACACACACACACACACACACATACACGCACACACACACGCACACACACACACAGCCATGTGTTTTGGTTTACCTTGACTACGTCGTTGACATGTCGCGTGTCTCTGTCATCGTCCCGTTGTACAGTGAGAATGGCTGGCTTCTGGAACTTGCGTGGTTGCTTGGTAACCGCCTCCGCTCCCTCCTCAGCCTCTCCTTCTGGCGTCGCCTCGGTTTCAGCAGCCGCCTTCTTCTCAAGTTTGGCTTCCTTAGCTGCCTTCTTAGCTTCCTCCTTAGCTTTCTTTTCCTCCTCTTTTCGTTTTTTCTCCTCTTCCTTTTTAAGGGCTTCCTTCTTCTTCTCTTCCTCCTTCTTCTGCTTCTTCTCTTCCTCCTTGGCTTTTTTCTCCGCCGCTTTTTTGGCTTTCTCTTCCTCCTTGAGCTGTTGCTTGGTCTTATCCTTCGGTTCCTCCTTTTTCGATTCGTCAGATTCGTTCTCGTTTTCTTTCTTCTCCTCGCCTTCCTTCTCGCCCTCTGCAGGTGTCGACGGCTTCTCCTGCAGCTCGACCTCCTCCTCTCCCTGGGAGTTCAACGTCTTCTCTCGTAGGTCCGGAGTCTCATCTTTGGTTTCCTCCGCGTCCGCCGCCAGGAGGCCTACCTGACTGTCGTTCAACTCTTCCGTCGTCTGCTTTTGTTCGTCCGCCATCTTTGCTTTAATCGTAAAAAAACAACACGACTTAAATTAACACAACTTACTTTTTATTTATAAAAACTTAAAATAACGCAACAATGGCGGAAGGTCATTATTTAATTATAGAATCAGTATGAGTATTAGGATGTGATACAGTTCAAGCCATATAAACACGTCTCCTTTTCTTTTATGCAAAAAACACATTAATATTTGCTAGACGCGTGGCCGCATAATAAAAGCACGTTTAATATACGCGCGTTATCAGTAAGTGTTTTTCTACAAAAAACAACAGCAGGTTTTTTATGTTTTTTTTACGGCATTGGCATTGCGTTATGCGCTATACACGCGGCTAACTATAGTAACACGTTCTGTTATACAAGGAGCTGGCGGTTAATCGTTGTTTTAACGAGAGCGGCAGCCATGTTTGTTTGCCGCGGCGCTTTTAAGTGGCTGTTCTGTTCGCGCAATTAACACGATCGTTACGGTGGGTGAGTGAGTGTGAGAGAGAGAGAGAGAGAGAGAGAGAGAGAAGAGAGAGAGAGAGAGAGAGAGAGAGAGAGAGAGAGAGAGAGAGAGAGAGA